ATTGTCAGGGGAAACTACTTGTTCAGTAGCTTGCTCAGGTGGAAATACTACCAGAGAATCAGGTTCACACAGATCAGGCTGAACCCCAACATTGTCCTTTATGCGTCCCTTTCACATCTATGATACTATATCTGTCATATACATATATATATGTGTGTGTGTGTGAATCATATCTGTCTAAATAATAATAATAATAACCGCCACCATCTTCCGACTGTGAGGGAGATCTGTTCAGTAGTGGAACTCTCCCTCTGCCTCAGAGTGTGGTGGCGTCTTCTTGGGAGGCTTTTAAGCGGAGGCTGGATGGCCATCTGTCAGGTGTGCTTTGAAGGCGATTTCCCTGGTTCTTGGCAGAATGGGGTTGGACTGGATGGCTCACCAGGTCTCTTCCAACTCTAGAATTCTATGAACGTATCAAGAGAAGGATAGCACAAATAGTCCAAAGCCTGGGAACCGTGAATCCCATTGAGGAGGAGGAGCTGATGCTGCTTCGGTTTATTTCTATCCCGCTTTATCACTTTTAAAAAGAGACCCATTCTCATTTAGCTAATGCTGAAACAGATGCCGTAGATTATTTAACTCCTAAAAAAAATACAAACATTAAAATAGGACTAAAACATTGTAAACCATTAAAACCCTCCCTGAAGAGATGCCTGAAACCCTTGACAGCACCCCTGGCTTGGTCTTCAAAGGACAGCGGGGAGAGGGCCCCTCTGGCTTCCCTGAGAAGAATGGAGAGCCAGAGTTAAGGTGCGTCCATCAAGAGGGGTCTGTTCTCTTGCATTCCCCCCAAGAACCAGGCTTGTGATGGAGGTGGGACTGAGAGAAGGACGTCTCCTGAGGATCGTAGGGCTCAGGCCGGTTCATACATGGAGATGCCACCAGCCAGATAGCTTGGACCTGAACCCTATAGCGCTTTATTGGTCATGACCAACACTTGCATTGTGCCTGGAAACAAATTGGCAGCTAGTGGAGCTGTTGCAACAGGGGAATGGTGTGCTTTGTTGCACAGCAAGCGGATCTTAGCCATGTCCCATGCACAAGACACACAGACAAGAGTAGAAATGAACAGAAAAATCTTTACTCTTAATAGCAGAGATGAAAACACACTTGCAATGTTGCATACAAAAAACAAACAGTGTAAGAAACTTACATGGTCTTCGTAAGTAACACAAAATAAGGCATCTTCATCTTCAGTCAAATGAGAAAGCAAAACATAAACCTTGAGCAAACAGTTATTCCACCATAGCCTCCTTTAGAGCAGTCTAACGGCTTCTCTCCAACCTGCTCCTTAGAGCAGAGCCTTTGAGCATAGATCTCCTCAGAGAAAAAGCTCTCCAGAACTGTATTCTAAAAACCCATACAGTTATACCCTATCAGGTGTGGTCCAAGATTGCTAGTTGACCTACATTACCAGCTGCACATAATAAGATTTTTCTTCAACACACACACACGGTCCTGTTACAACTTACATGCTTCCTGTAGCCAGCCCCAGTTAACGACCTGGCCACTGCTGTTTGGACCAGCCGAACACAAGTTTTAAATAAGGCATTCCTGGCAACCCTGGGCCTCCAGGTCCCACTCTGGATTCAGAAGTTCCCCAAAACGGTGGGCCTGCATCTTCAGGTGGAGGGTAACTCCACCTGGCACAGGCTAGATCCCGATTCCCTGATCTGCCTTCCAACGGACCGGGAGCACCTCTGTCTTGTCTGGATTAAGTTTCAGTTTGTTCGCCTTCATCCAGTTCATTACTGAAGATAAGTAGTGGTTTAGGATCAGGATAGTTTTCTACCATAAGAGATTCTTTTCTTGCTTATTTTAGTGTTTATTTCTCTGTTCTTTTTATCTTAAATTTGTTTTGAAAACCTAAGAAAATTAATTTTGAAAGATATGTTCTGAATGCCTTCCAATTCTACACAGTAGAATTGATTAGAATGATAATAACAATAAGAGAATCAACTCAGTTTAGCATATCTTTTGTTGCTATGGAATCCTGGGTGTTGTAGATTGAGTATCCAGCATTCCCAGTAGATAGAACCAGTATCAACCATATCAGAGCCTTTCACTCCCTCAAGTAACTCTCAGAGGAAGTACTTTGCGACCCAGCAAGAACCTTGTCTGCTGTTGAAGTCGGTTGATCCACCATGTTGAAAAAATGGACACCATGAGTAACATGGACACTTGTATCATAGAATCACATAATGACTTGGAAGAGACCACATGGACCATCGAGTCCAAAGCCCTGCTATTCACAAAGTACCCCAAACAGATGGCCATCCAGCCTCTGTTTAAAATCCTCCAATGAAAGAGTCTCCACCAGACTCCGAGGCAGAGAGTTCCACTGCTGAACAGCCCTCCTTACAGTTCTTCCTAATGTTCAGGTGGAATTGCCTTTTCTGCAATTTGAACCCAATGCTCTGAGTCCTAGTTTCCAGTGCAGCAGAAAACAAGCCTGCTCCCTCTTCCTTGTGACATCCTTTCACATATTTATGCATGGCTCTCGTGTCTCTTCTCAACCTTGTCCTCTGCAGGCTAAACATACCCAGCTCTTTAAACCACTCCTCATAGGGATTCATGGTCTCCAAATCTTCGATCATTTTAATCTCCCTCTTCCTCTGGACACCTTCCAGGTTGTCATTCTCTCTTTTAAACTGTGATGCTCGGAACTGGACACAGTATTCCAGGTGAGGTCTGACCAAAGCAGAATAGGGGGGCACTACTACTTCCTTTGCTCCAGACACTATACTCCTTTTGATGCAGGTCAGCATTCCATTGGCTTTGTAGCTGTTGCATCCCATTGTTGGCTTGTCCAAAGATCCTTTTCACATGGACTGTTGACAAGCCAGGCGTCACCCTTTTTGTATCTTTGCATTTCATTTTTTCTGCCTAAGTGGAGTATCTACATTTCTCCTTGTTGACATTCAGCTCTCTAATCTGTTAAGGTCGCTTTGAATTCTGATCCTATCCTCTGGAGTATTAGCTCTCCCTCCTAATTTGGTGTCAACTGCAAACCTGATAACTTCTTGGAGTCCTCGTGGACAACAAGTTAAACCTGAGCCAACAATGTGATGCGGTAGCAAAAAAAAAAAGCCAATAGGATTTTGGTCTGCATCAATAGGAGTCTAGTGTCTAGATCCAGGGAAGTCATGCTCCCCATGCTCTATTCTGCCTTGGTCAGACCACACTTGGAATACTGTGTCCAATTCTGGGCACCACAATTGAAGGGAGATGTTGACAAGCTGGAATATGTCCAGAGGAGGGACACAAATGATCAATGGGTCTGGAGAACAAGCCCTATGAGGAGCGGCTTCAAGAGCTGGGCATGTTTAGGCTGAAGAAGCAAAGGCGGAGAGGAGACATAATAGCCATGTATTAATATGTGAGAGGAAGTCCTAGGGAGGAAGGAGCAAGATTGTTTTCTGCTTCCCTGGAGACTAGGACGCAATGGAACAATGGCTTCAAACTACAAGAAAGGAGATTCCATCTGAACATTTGGAAGAACGTCCTGACTATGAGAGCTGTTCAGCAGTGGAACTCTCTCTGTACTCCGGGTGTGGTGGAGGCTCCTTCTTTGGAAGCTTTTAAACAGAGGATGAATGGCCATCTGTCAGGGATGCTTTGAATGCAATATTCCTGCTTCTTGGCAGAATGGGGTTGGACTGGATGGCCCATGAGGTCTCTTCCAACTCTTTGATTCTATGATTCTATGAATGCAATTTTCCTGCTTCTTGGCAGGGGGTTGGACTGGATGGCCCACGAGGTCTCTTCCAACTCTATGATTCTATGATTCCAAATCTATGATTCTATAAGTATGCCTTCTAAATCTTCATCCAAGTCAATAATAAAGATGTTCAACAGTAGTGGGTCCAGGAGCAAACCCTATGGCACTCCACTAGTCACTTCTTCCCAGGATGAAGAGGAACCGTTGGGGAAAAGCACCTTTTGCGTTCGGTCACTTAACCAATTACAGATCTACCAACAGTAGCATTGCCTAGCTCACATTTAACTCGTTCGTTGTGTTGTATCTTGTATTGTAGTGGTACCCAAAAGGTGCTTCTCCCCAATGGTTTGGCACAATTTGGCCCCTGGTTGTTTTTTTCCACTATACTTAGAGGTTCTGAAGAAAGATGGTGGGCTTCATCCAATACCAGATCTCAGAATTGTGAAGACTTTCATCACTATTTGTCACTTCTGTACTGTTTTCCATCCTTCCCTTGTTCCCTTCCCTTCACCATTGACTTGAAAGATGCTTAGTTCCACATTGCAGTTCAACCACAGTATTAATATTTCCTCATTTTTGTATAGGCAGCTGACCTTTTAACTTCCATGTGCCTGCCTTTGGCTTGGCCATGACTCCCAGGGTGCTTTTTTCTCTCCAAATGACTAGATTCATGTTACACTATAATTTTGCTGTGAATTTGCTAAAGTCCATTCATGGACAATGTTTTCAGGTCATATCTGTTACACTGTAAATTTGGTGCCACTCTGTATTCCTCTGAGAATTTGCTAAAGTTTATTCTTCACGTATGGCTAACATTCTCATGTCTTACTTGGTGACATGTCATTAATATTTCTAGTTTTGTACTCAAGTGTGTAATGTGTCATGGCTCCCATCACCTCTCATTATAGCTTGTGTGATTCACAGGCACTAAGAAGATGAAGGACAAGTTGCTTACCTGTAATTATATTTCTTTGAGTGGTCATCTGAGAATTCACCCCACCCCACCCATTCTCCCCACTAGTGTCATGCCACCCTTGGTCGCATTGAGTGCAGCTGGTAACCGCCTCCTTATTCGCCCTTGAGAGAGTAGATTGGGTTCATACTAAAATATTCCAAAGAGGCTCTGTGCAGATGCAGAATACTCAGTGGTGTGAATTCACAGATGACCACACAAGGAAAGACAATGACAGGTAAGCAACCTATTATTCTTGTCAGTCTGTTCACCACTAATATCTTGGACTTTCATTCCACCTTTGCTTGCTCTTCACCACTTGTGAGGTCAGCAGGATTTTCATTTCAGTGTTGTTTTCCATCTCCTCTTTCTCCTTTTAGCTTCTGCCAGCCCTTGAGGAGGCTGTTGTGTGGTTCTCTGAGAAGAAGTGGAGTGCCCTGGTGGGCTTGGTGTGTAGAAGATACAGTGGAGACTGGTGAGAACATGGCACCCAGGTAAGGTTTTCCTAGCTTTAAAAAATGGGTTGGTCACATATTTCTTGGTCACATCTCCCAAACTGCGCTAGAACTCAGCTTGTATGAAAGTGTTCAGTGTAAAGTTACTGCTTTGCCAGGTGTTACTCTTGCACAGTTCATCCACAGTAATTGGTTGTGACTGTGGTCCCTCCCTGTCTTCCTGTTCAGACCCAGGGGTCTGATCCATGGAGAGGTGCCAGTCAAACTTAGCAGTTGAATCTCATTCCTAAACAGGGGGTAGATATTTATGCACCTCAGTGTGGAACAGGCTATGGAGGGTTGTGCAGAACCTGATCTTCACCATATATCCTTGGTCCACCCAGAGCTGGAAGTTCCATATTTATTTATTTACAACATTTATATGCCCCCCTTCTCACCCTCAAGGGGACTCAGAGCGGCTTACTATACACACACACACACACACACAATATATTATATTATTAGCATAGTACAATATCAATATTACTATATTGTATTATACCATTATATTGTAATATTTTTATTTCCTATTTAATTGTGCGGTCCTTACTTTGAAAGTACCGTATATTCCGGCATATAAGACGACTGGGCGTATAAGACGACCCCCAACTTTTCCAGTTAAAATATAGAGTTAAGATGACTCCCATGCATAAGACTACACCCGCATATAAGACGACCCCTGACTTTTGAGAAGATTTTCTTGGGTTAAAAAGTAGTCTTATACGCCAGAATATACTGTAGTATTATATCTCTTCACTCTGGCCCAGAGCTGCAGTTGGTGTTGGGGGGAGGGGTCCCCAACTGATGACATAGGCAAGAGACAAGATGGAACTGTCCCCTGACCCCTCTGTCTTCACTCTGGCCCAGAGCTACAGTTGGTGTTGGGGGGAGGGGTCCCCAACTGATGACATAGGCAAGAGACAAGATGGAACTGTCCCCTGACCCCTCTGTCTTCACTCTGGCCCAGAGCTACAGTTGGTGTTGGGGGGAGGGGTCCCCAACTGATGACATAGGCAAGAGACAAGATGGAACTGTCCCCTGACCCCTCTGTCTTCACTCTGGCCCAGAGCTACAGTTGGTGTTGGGGGGGAGGGGTCCCCAACTGATGACATATGTAGGAGACAAGATGGAACTGTCCCCTGGCCCCCTCTCTCTTCACTCTGGCCCAGAGCGGCATATCCCCCATCGTGTAGGTGGGCAAGAGGGCCTTCCCTTCCATTATCTTTTGGGATAGGCAGATGCAACAACTTGGAGTGCTTGATACTTTAGAGTAAGGGAATCCCAACTAAAAGAGCAGACTTGAGGAAAAGAGAGAACTCAGATGGGAAAAACTTCTAACTCTCCAGAGAAGAGGTTTCCTAATGCCAGACCCAGGACTCAGGGTAGAGGATTCCAGTTGGAACACAGAAGAACAGGATGTGGTCCTCATGAGACAGAGAAGAAAAGTGGGCAACGCTCATTCAGAAGCCAGGAGCCCAGGAATAAGAAGCAAGGGCTAATCTGGTAGATTCAAGGGCTCTCCCTCAGGCTTTATGAGAGTACTGTTCAAAAAGGAAAATTCTGTCGATAGGCCAGGAATTGTGTTTTTTGGGAAGAGTGCTATAACAAGACGGAATTTATTTTTGGACAAATCCCAGCCCTTGCCACCAATTATAACAAGACGGAAGGAAGAATCTGGGGAACAATATTTAATTCCACCAGCTGAAAACCAAAAATATAAAAGATGTAGCATGACTTTGTTTGGGAAATAAAGTAATCCCACAACCGAACACCACTTGTATTGGACAAAGGCTTCTGCGTTTACGAGCCCCCAAACCCAAAAGGCTGTGATACAAAGCTGGCACTTTCTTCCTGGCCAAAAAACTCTTTTTGAAAGCGCACTGGCACCCACCCACTTAGCAGTGCTGATAAGCCCTTGGCTTACTTGAGGTAACTTGTGAAAGAGTGTGATGGTGTTAGCCCTCAGGCTTGAGTTTCTGAGGTACCCTTTAAAGATAGTTCTTTAGAACATACTGTTCTGTCGCGCACTGGGTCTGAACAAATTGTCTTTAATCTATAGGACGTATACTTTAAACCCAGTGGGAAGCTTCCGGGGTGCCTCAAAGAGAGATTCTTAGGGAATCCCTGAAGTAATGGTCTTTACAGTCTTTAATGGTACAATAAAGTCTTTATTAAGGAACAAATAACAAATCTTTAGACAACACTTCAAGGTTTTCTTGTTCTAGTCTGTAAGAGACTGGCACTGACTTGGATTAACTGTAATTTCTTAGCATAAGGAAGAACTCTTTATAATCTCTCCCAGGCTGTCTGTTATCTGGGCCTCGCTGATTTGGGTCTTACTACCGATCCCAACTGCTTCTGGGCATCGAGTAAACCTACCAGCCAAGGCTTGAAGATACTTCAGCTGGAATTCAGTGGTTCTGTAGTGCTGTCCTGTGGGAACTTCAGGGCTGTTTTCCCCTCTGGTGCTGTGAGGCTGAGAGGCTGTGAGCTCTCAGCCAGAGCCTTTGGGATCCTTTCCTTCTGTTCCTGTTTCCCTGAATGATCACCGGATGGTCCCCAGATGGTTCTGAAGAATAAAGCTTTTCCTACGGGCTGAGCTATCTGTGTCCTATAGACTAGCTTTCTTGTTTGTGACTGACAAAAAACGGCTCCCTTCTCTTCTGAAACCCAAAAAGGGGGCGGAATTAAGGAACCTAATGATGATGGACAGGTGGCCTGCCCTATAACTGTAAACTTTAACAGGAAGCCACCCTCCTGCAGAATCCCAAGCCATGGGCTGCAAATAACACTTAATATGATGGCACGCCGGGAAGATGAAGAGAAAACTATATGTGTCTGGCTATTTTCCCAGTGACCATCGGTTTGGCCTATATGTACTTTAATTCCCCAAAATAAAACTCTAGAGACAAGACTAAAACTAACCAATTAAGTTTACTGAATAATCAGGGTGAATCAAAACAAGGTATACAAAGGTGCAGTTTGATTATGATGGTATAGAATTAGAATAATAAGGAACAGGTATAAGGTATAACTCTGAGGTAACAACAACTATATTCTATGAGGTAAATATAACCTATAATGATATAAACTCTAAGTTCTATGTGGCATGTACTATCTGTGATCTCTGGGGCATGTATTCTAATCTATGAGGCAAATACAGCTATTAACTATGGCATGGGCATCTATGTAATCTATAAGGCAAATATAACTATTCTACGAGGCAAATATAACTATAAACTTTGGTCTATTCTATGGCATATATGTGCTAAGGATGGCCTGTTCAGACTGCTAAACTAGACCAGACACGTTCTGGCTAACTACTAAAAAACTATGTCCAAAAGAAGAATGGAGCAAAAAAGTCTTTCTGCCAAGCTCTGAGCCAGAATGGGCTGAACCAAACAGAGCTCGGCCTCTAGGGGGATCCTAAGCTCCTACTCTAAAACTTAGCAGAATGGAACAGTCCAACTCCAGGGAAATAAACAGGAAAATAAACTAGGCTGAGACTTCACACTTAATGCAAAGCAAATAAAGTGAGAGCCTCTGGTACAGCTGTACCTGCACACATACGCTGCCACCAATTAAGTTTTTGATTTCTGCTTAAAGCTGCTTTTAAACCTTTAAGCAGAGGCACACTTGAGTCAGATGTAATGAACCATAAACAGTAAAGTTTATTTACAGGAACAATAACAATGCAGGTACTGAGCTTGGCTGTTACAGAGATTTGTCTAGAAAGTGTGTGGTTACATAAACAGTTCGGACTTTGTTACACAATAAATACTTCTTTCTCCCTCCAAACAAGAATCCTGACAGGATAGTTTCTCTGACAGTAATTCTCCACCAGCACAGATAGTCCTGACCTGGATCTATCTCTCTGTTTCCCATCTACCTTCCTAATAGCTGTAAACTCCTCACTAGCTGTCCCTGCTAGCAACTCTGGCCAATCACAGGTCTCTTCTCCTAACCCTCTACACCACTCCAATCTCCAAACACCCTCTCCCTTTGACACCCAGGTTCAATCTCCTGACAGGGTTTTAAAAACCTCTCTTTAAAGACTTTTTTTCCCTTTTGCCAAGTTAGGCTCTACCCACTCTAACTTAGCCAATTACATTCCTCTCTCATTTCCCTCCAAAAGCTGCTCTTACTAAACACACCCCCTCCAGGAAATGAGTGACAAAATGGATTCCCCCGGCACCCTTTCCCAAGATGGTTGCCAAACTCCTTGGACCTACTATTTTCCAAGGCCGATCTCAGCCGAACTGGTAGGGAATTCACTACAAGTGCACCTTTGGCTCATTGCGATGTGGAGAAACTCAGTATCAATAGCTAACAGTATTTGCATTGGAGCAGAGGCTCTTTCTGAGGGAGGATTCCTATTCAGCAAGGAGTTTTTCTCTTCTCCATTTATCCTTGCTACAGCTCCTTCACTTCTCAGATGCAAATGGAAAGCACTGCTATATCACCTGAAGAGAGAAGGACATGGATCCGCTCCTCTCAGAATTAGACAGGCAATGCTATTGATGTTAGAAGCTGAGAGGAGCATATTGATCCTAGATTTCAGTATGGCATGTTAAATAGATTAACGACAGGGGATAAGTCTCTTATTTGGTCTCTGATTCTGTCATTTGACTAAAGGATTTTTTTTTCTTTTTTCTCAAAAAAGAAATCAGTAGAAGAAACACAAGAAGCCAGCTGTAACAAAGCCTGGTGCGGAAAAACAGGTGTCTGGAAAGCAAAAGAGAACGAAAACAGGGGAGAAGCCATATAAATGCATGGAATGTGGAAAGGGCTTCAGCCAGAAAGCAAGTCTACGTGTACATCAAAGAATACACACAGGAGAGAAGCCATACGAATGCATGGAATGTGGGAAGAGCTTCAGCGATGGTGGATCATGTCGTAAACATCTAAGAGGTCACACAGGAGAGAAACCATATAAATGTATAGAATGTGGAAAGAGCTTTGGTGACCGTACACAACTTTGTACACATCAAAGAACACACACAGGGGAGAAACCATACAAATGCATGGAATGTGGAAAGAGCTTCACTCAGAAAGCAGGTCTACAGGTACATCAAAGAACACACACAAGAGAGAAGCCATATGAATGCATGGAATGTGGAAGGAGCTTCAGTTGCAGTGGAAGTCTACGTTCCCATCAAAGAACCCACACAGGAGAGAAACCCTATGAATGCATGGAATGTGGAAAGGGCTTCAGTCAGAATGCAAATCTACGTACACATCAAAGAACACACACAGGAGAGAAGCCACACGAATGCATGGAATGTGGAAGGAGCTTCAGTTGCAGTGGACATCTACGTTTGCACCAAAGAACCCACACAGGAGAAAAACCCTTTGAATGCATGGAATGTGGAAAGAGCTTCAGTGATAGGAGAGGATATAATCGACATCAAAGGATTCACTCAGGTGAGAAGCCGTACAAATGCATGGAATGCGATAAAACCTTCGGGTCCAGTTCAAATCTACTGACACATCAAAAAAATCACAGAGGAGAGAAGCCATACAAATGCATGGTGTGTGGAAAGGGCTTCAGTAAGACTGATCATCTGCGCGTGCATGAAAGAACGCATTCCGGAGACAAACCCTATAAATGCACGGAATGTGGAAAGAGCTTCAGTCAGATGGCAAATCTACGTGTCCATGAAAGGACACACACAGGGGAGAGACCATACAAATGCACAGTATGTGGAATGGGCTTCTGTGATAAAGGCTCATGTAATAAACATCTAAGGACCCACACAGGGGAGAAACCATATGAATGCGTGGAATGTGGAAAGAGTTTCAGTTGCAGTTCTAATCTACGTACACATCAAAGAACCCACACAGGGGAGAAACCGCATGAATGCAAGGAATGCGGAAAGAGCTTCCCTACTAGTAGCAGTTTGCAGTCGCATCAAAGAACCCACACTGGGGAGAAACCTTATGAATGCATGGAGTGTGGAAAGAGCTTCTCTCATCGTCTACGTAGACATCAAAGAACCCACACTGGGGAGAAACCTTATGAATGCATGGAGTGTGGAAAGAGCTTCAGTTGCAGTGGAAGTCTACATTCCCATCAAAGAATCCACACAGGAGAGAAACCATATCAATGCCTGGAATGTGGGAAGAGTTTCAGGAAAAGCGGACATTTGCAAACTCATCATAGGACCCACACAGGGGAAAAACCATATCAATGCCTGGAATGTGGAAAGAGCTTCAGGGACAGCGGACATTTGCATTCCCATCGTAGGACCCACACAGGGGAAAAACCATATGAATGCATGGAATGTGGAAAGAGCTTCAGGGACAGCGGACATTTACGTGCCCATCATAAGACCCACATGAGAAAAACCATATAAATGCATGGAATGTGGAGAGGTCGTCAACAAAAGTTGCTCATATAATAAATATCTAAGGACTCACATAGTTGGGACCATGTGAATGCATAGAATGTGGAATGAAATTCCTTGGAAATATTTGTTCACTTCCTAGTTCATGCCACTTTTTCCCAGCACCCGGAATTTAAGGTCTGGCGGAGTGTTGAAATCCTTCAAATATCCTTAAAATGGCAGATCAGTTTCTTCTGTTCCTTATATTAGGCAAATGTTCCTCCAGTAAGTCTCTTTAGAGTTCTTGATATAAAGTTCAATAAAGTTTTGCTATGGAAATGTAATAAAATAAACAAAGAAGGAAACCTTTGGGAACAACATGGTTTTAGATCTTGTGCATATGTAGGAAGGTCCTTTTATTAATTTGTGCTGTCACGCTCTGGGCCTATAGCAGTTGGCTTTTGAACAGGACGTGCTTTTTGTGCCCAGCGGGAAGCCGGGGTGCCTCGACTGAGAGGCCCTAAGGATTTTCCTATACAGTGTCTTTAGAAGCTTGAAAGATTTAACAAAGTCCTTTATTATTGCTTAAGTCTTCAACAAACAATCAAATACTTCTCAGATCTTCAACAAATTAAACAAATGCTTCAAGGCCTTGAATCAACTGGTGGCTTTCTTAATCTTGTCCACAAGGGACAGGCAACTGGCTTCGTGAACTGTTCTAGGCTCTGCTGGTGTGGGCTCTACTCCCGGCTCCAATTGCTTCTGGTTACCTGAGTAGACCTACCAGCCAAGACCTTGTAGATTTTCCAGCTGGAGTTCTTTTAGATTTTCTCCACAAATGATGTGGTTCTGTATCTTTAACCCCAACAAGGGTTGTGCTGTCAAACTGTTTTCCTTAGAAGCTTTAGGGCTGTTTCCCCTGGATGTTGTGAGAAACGAAGCTTCTCTACAGGTGGGGAAAGCTCACGTCCTGTAACTGGGCTTCCAAAACTGAAAGACTGCCTGAAGTCTTTCTTTTCCCTCCCAGAGCCCTGGGGAAAGGGGCGGAACTAAAGAACATAATGATGATTGATGGGTCATTGGCCCTATAATTGCAGAGCAAGGGAAACCACCTTATTGCAAAATGCATGGAACCTTGGAATACATGCAAACACTCAATAGAAAGAAAATGAAGTAGGAGCTCCTGGTACAGCCGTACCAACACAAATTCATCAAATGTTTTGAAGGTTTATATGCAAAAGTTCAGTTTATATGAAATGGTTAATTCAATTGTAAGGATGATGATATGGTGACTTATAACTGTAATTGTAAAAATATATTTCTGGTTTAAGAAATTGAGATTTGATACAAATGTAATTAGGAGTTACTATATGTCGCACATTGATTTAAAAAAAATAAAATCTATGTGCAAGAGGGGGAATCTGTCACGAAAATATTATTGCAGATTTGAGAAATGTGAATTTAATAATGATGTGTGGGAATGAATGGAAGGATGGATGGATGTATTTTGGAAACACCAGTATAATATTAAGGCCTGCAATGACTAACTACCTGCTTGCTGGACTTGCTAGTGAGAAACCTGTCGCACCTCAGAGTAGAATCACCTGGCTGGGAAACACCAAACTGCACACAGCCAGAAGTCTATATAGTTTATTAAAAAGTAAAAGGTAAAAAGTTCTTAAAAGCAAAAATGAAGTTTTAAAAGATCAATACAAAATAACACTTTGAATCAAAAAGGCACCAGCAAAGCAGAATCCCATGAGAACATGACTGCTGGAGACTAGGACGCAAGGGAACAATGGCTTCAAACTACAAGAAAGGAGATTCCACTGAACATGAGGAAGAACTTCCTGACTGTGAGAGCCGTTCAGCAGTGGAACTCTCTGCTGGAGTGTGGTGGAGGCTCCTTCTTTGGAAGCTTTTAAACAGAGGCTGGATGGCCATCTGTTGGGGGTGCTTTGAATGCAATTTTCCCCCTTCTTGGCAGAATGGGGTTGGACTGGATGGCCCATGAGGTCTCTTCCAACTCTGATTCTAGGAGTGTCTTTTGCCCTTTCCTGCCAAAGCGGTACCTATTATATTTTATAAGGTAACATAGGTTATATTTTATAAGGCAAAGGCTTCTCCTTTCATTTCTGGCTTCTGAAGGCGATGCTCATCTCTGGCTCCCCTCCATTTTCAAGCTGAGGAGCATGCATTGTCACCTCCCGGTCGTGTGGTCGGCAAGACTACTTGGAGTGTCTTTTGACTTTTCCTGCCAAAGCGGTACCTATTCATCTACACACATTTGCATGTTTTCAGACTGCTAGGTTGGCAGGAGCTGGAGCTGGCAGATGGGAACTCATCCCACTCCCCGGATTCGAACCGCCAACCTTTCGGTCAGCAAGTTCAGCGATTTAACCCACTGCACCACCAGGGAGCCCACCACGATGATTAGTGGCCTCTTATCTGTTGCAGCCATCATCTACCTTTGCAGCCGTGTGCTCAGTGGTGATAGTGGGAGGGGATTTCAAGAGCTGCTCCAGACAGCATAATGCTGCAATGTCTTGCAAGATGGCTGCTTCCCACCTTGTGGCTACCGGAAGGTCAGTTGGTGATAGTGGGAGGGGCTCTCAGGAGCTGACACTCACCAGCTGACCTTCTGCTGGCCACGGAGTGGGAGGCGGCCATCCAGATTCGTCTTGTGGATTTTTAGGTCAGCAGTTCAGCAGCACCAGCGTTTAACCCACTGTGCCACCGCGGTGTACAGGCGGGGTTTGAAATTTATTCTGAAAGAATATGAATAGATGTCAAGATTTAACATCTACAAGGAGAAAAACAATTGTTTTGATTGGGAATTCCACTAAAACGGAATTTAGTCTCTTCATTGCCCTGGTTATCTATATCTATAATAAAAGTGAATGTTTGTATGTATGTATGTGGAGGTAGGTGTATGTGGCAGTTTTCTGATTGGCTGCCACTTCAGGCCACTGCAACCTGCACGGGTGACAGACCTAGACCAAACTTGGCACATATAGCCCCCATTACCCAGTTTATGACCTGATGCACTTTGGGGGAGCATGGACCACAGATGTTGGGATTTGCAGTACTTTCCATCACTTCAGCTCCCACAGACCACAGCAATACCCACCAATGTTGGAACTGGGCCAAATTTGGCACACAGAACCCCCATTAGCAACTTGACATCCTGGTGTGGTTTGGGGGAGGAAGGGTCACAGATGATGGGATTTGCAGTACCTTCATTCACTTTGTGAACCCATTGAGACCAGCATGAATGATGGATCTGGACCAAACTTGACACACATAATCCCCATGAACCCCCTCATGCCCTGGTGAAGTTTGTGAGAGGATGGACCACGGACAATGGGATTTGCAGTACCTTTTCCCAACTGACTTCCCATCCTATTGAGGTTTGGAGGAGGAATGAACATGGATGATGGGACTTGCATATCAGAGTTCATCCATACCCCCTAAACCCAGCTGACATTAGTTCTAGACTAAACTTGGAGCACAGACAAACAATGCCTTTCTCAACCTGGGCACCGCCAGGTCCCCAAGCTAGTATATCTATATAAATAAAAATGAAATGTTCATTTGTGGGATTAACATAACTCAAAAACCACTGGATGAATTGACACCAAATTTGGCCACAAGACACCTACTAACCCAAGGAGTGACCATCACTCAAAAAAATTGATTTTGTCATTTGGGAGTTGTAGTTGCTGGGATTTATAGTTCACTTACAATCAAAGAGCATTCTGAACTCCACCAATGATGGAATTGAACCTAATGTGGCAAACAGGACTCCCATGACCAGCAAAAAACACTAGAAGGGTTTGGTGGGCATTGACATTGAGTTTGGGAGTTGGGACACTGCCCACCAAACTCTTCCAGTATTTTCTGTTGGTTATGGGAGAACTGTGGGAGAACAGGAAGATTGAAAGACGAGCACAAAGCCAACCTTAAAAACTCTGGCATAGACACTGGGAACTGGGAAGCCCTGGCCCTTGACGCTCCAGCTGGAGGTCAGCTGTGACCAGCAGTGCTGCAGAATTTGAAGAGGCACGAATGGAGGGTGAAAGAGAGAAACGTGCCAAGAGGAAGGCGTGTCAAACCAACCCCAACCTGGGATCGCCTTCCATCTGGAAACCGATGCCCTCACTGCGGGAGAAGATGCAGATCAAGAATAGGGCTCCACAGTCACCTACAGACCCACCGCCAGGATACTACACTTGGAGGACCATCATCCTTGGACTACGAGGGATCGCCTAAGTAAGTAAGTATAAAACCAGTACTGGAGTCTGCGTGTCTATGTCTTTCTCTAAAGCACCCTGACACACTGAAAACAGATTAAATTTGGGCCAAGTCAAGGACCTCTTCCTTCCTTAGATTTGCAGGAAAACATACAGCTGGACAGAAAGGGCATCATGGTCTTCACAAAACCCACCTTTGGTCCCGTTCTTCCTGGTGACTTGGGTGCATCTGTACTGTGGCCTTAATGCAGTTCGGCACCACTTTAGCTGCCACGGCTGTGCTACAGGATCCTGGTACCTGTAGTTTGGTGTAGTTTGGCAGAGGAGGCTCCAGGCCTGATAAAACACTGAGCCATGTTGTCAGACAGCATCAATTCCAGGATCACAGTACCAATCTTGCTGTGAAAGACAGATCTACCCTACACCCGGAGCATTGATTTTCTCTCCTTATGGAAATAGTTGAGTGCCTAGCTTGTAGATGTGAAAATGCCTCGTGAAGATGGAGAGAGGACCATAGGATTTCCAAAAGGACTATTCTCCATGTTCCGGAATACAAGCAGTCCCCAAGTTCTGTAGGTTTGAATGTAAGTTGGAACAGTGCAATTCCAGCCAAATATAAACAGTGTTGCCTCACTTATCGTGGGTGTAACGTTCCAGACCACCCGCAAAAAGTGAAAATCCGCGACATAGGGACGCTATATATCAGTGTTTCTCAACCTGGGGGTCGGGACCCCTGGAGGGGTTGCCAGGGGGTGTCAGAGGGGTCGTGAAAGACCATCAGAAAACACAGTATTTTCTGTTGGTCATGGGTTCTGTGTGGGAAGTTTGGCCCAATTCTATCATTGGTAGGGTTCAGAATGCTCTTTGATTGTAGGTGAACTATAAATCCCAGCAACTACAACTCCCAAATGTCAAGGTCTATTTTCCCCAAACTCCATCAGTGTTCACATTTGGGCATATTGAGTATTCGTGCCAAGTTTGGTCCAGATCCATCATTGTTTGAGTCCACAGTGCTCTCTGGATGTAGGAACTACAATTCCAAAACTCAAGGTCAATGCCCACCAAACCCTTCCAGTATTTTCTGTTGGTCATGGGAGTTCTGTGTGCCAAGTTTGGTTCAATTCCATTGGTGGAGTTCAGAATGCTCTTTGATTGTAGGTGAACTATAAATCCCAGCAACTACAACTCCCAAATGACAAAATCATAATTTTGTTTGAGTGATGGTCACTCCTTGTGTTGTGAGACGTTTTGTTGCCAAATTTGGTGCGATTTCGTTCATTGGTTCTTTTGTTTTTAAGGTACTCATTATGCACAGAGCATTTTTATATAGATAGATTATTATTAATCTAGCCGTGAAGGACAGAATGATTTTGAGCATCGACTACCTCTCCTAAAGGAAACGGCTTAGT